ATGCCGAGATAACTGACTCACGGAGTCTACTCGGTAAGGGCAAAAAAGTGAATTTGGACCCACCCAAGACCCACAGCTCAGTTCAACGAATCCGACTTTGTGGCAAGTAAATTCGAGCCATTTTTAGTGCACGATCTACCATGATTCACAAGAATGCTAATCAGAAAACACGTTGAATTTTACGCTTGAAGTTAATCATAATGAACCACATCCATCAACTCTAGCACTACAGACTTAGACGCTGTTCTTTTAAAATTACGCCTTGCAGAATATACGACGGAATGGGACCATTAAATGAATGCTGCGGGCCGTTATGCAGAGATAAAAGCTAATCGTTCGGGAAATAAAAACTAATGCCAGACTAGCAACTGAATATAAATCATACAGCTAAATAAAACTAGTAGAGAGCTTTGCATGTAAATCGGCAACGTTCAGAAATGCTTTGTGTAAGTAGATCTCTATGAAGATAGAAAGCGTTTGTGAAAGGATTTACAACTTACGGTTTCTTGTCTTCCTCAGAAGGATTGAAAATGTCTATCTCGGTGTCCTTTGTTCCATTCATTCCAGCTGTATTCTCATCCCCATCATCACTCGTTGCCTCTGATTTCTGCTTTTCCTTGCTTTGGCCAGTATCAGCAAGATTGTCCACAGCAATGGCCAAGAAAACGTTGAGCAGAATGTCTATTCAGAATTGTCAGGATTAAGGAAATAACAGAGCTAGGCATTTTAAGGCATCGTGATGTTCTACTTTAACCAACGGGACCGAGGTCATGCATTGTAATCAGCCTTTGAAATCAGATTGCCTTTCCTGATAAAATTTTAGGAATTCGGAGAAAAAACACAAAGCTTTGTAAACGTTAAAAGGAAGCATTTAATCCATAGCTCTGAAAATTCTAACGTTAGTAAGTTATCGGTGAAAAATAAATGGTAGTTTAGGAACTCTCACTCAAGTTAATGGAGACTTGCCTTCTAGCTTCCACCAAATTTAATTTTATAGTTGCAGAAGCTTTCCAGACAAACAGAAACTGATTAATAGCTAATGGCAGCACCTAGACAGTAGTCTCATTTTACTAGGTTAGGTGTTTTGCTTCAAAGTACACTTTGTAGACCATTTTTACACAACTCTGACATGAAACACATAATTGTGGCAATATAGAAAACCAGTGTAGGCTTAGCACAACCGGCTATATTTCTCTGCATTTCAAAACCAATTAATTAAAAAAACGCATTTCACTAAGTACTATTTTATTTTTTTAAGAATAAAGCAGAGTAGGTCGAAGACTAGAACCCTCATTTTCATTTCAAAAGTAAAAATATACTTTGATGGCTGCTTTGTCAAAGCTTGTTGTAATTAAAACTGCCCTCGAAACTACGATTTAGTGGCAAACTCATCGTTCCTTGGAGTAAAATGGGCTTCAAATAAAACTCATTTTACTATGTACACAATACCGACAATATGTGACCAAACAGTTAAGTTAGACTGCTAAATCACTAGAAAAGAGAAAAAACATGCCTTTAATTGATAGCATTTAGTAACTTTGACCGGTAATTTTCAAAATAGCATTATTTGATAAAATTATATAATTAGTCAACAACGTTAGGGCTAACAATCACAAATGAGAGCAGCTAAAGAGAAAGATGCTAGTCTGAGAATGTTATCACTACCACATGGGATACAAGTAACCATTAAAAATATTATTTAATTTAATAAAAGACATTCGTAGAAGCCACTCTTTTAAAGTACTTATTTTTGCATGTTGAACGACAGTGAATTAAACCAGTATTCCAGCTAACTTTATACGATTTTCTTTAACCTGAATATATCGACGTTATGTAAATAGGTCAGCAAACTCAGTGCTACAATAAAGTTGCCAATTACTAATTGTGGAAAACTTGACAGGATAAAATAACCAAGAATGACAGCCTTGATATTGTGTTATGATGCGGCGTATACCAAATATAGTAATATGTCACAAAGTCTTAATCAATTAGAACTTACGATTCCGCATCTTCGTACTTTCGAGGCTCTTTGAGGTGTGACTGGTCACTAAGATCAGAATCACCACTTCTAAACGTTTGTACCAATAGTTACACGTTTCACAAGACACAACTTCGGCACCAAGAACACTGCAACTTGATTCCTGTGGTTTTGTGGCACTTTTTTCTCGTTAGAATTTGTTAAGAATGCGGTGCCGAATGTACTGTTTATCAGTTACCATCATAAACTCTTATAATCTTCAAGATTTTATAACTCACGTACACTTGCCGTTCGCTGTTCTGTACTCTTGCGTCCGATCTTTTCACAACCACAAAAGACCGAGAAAATATTTCCATGTTAAACATAATTTTAAGCTCGAAGAAAGAAATTGTACAGATTGAATCATACATCCAATGAGTACCCAAAAAGGGGACAACGCTACAACTGTCAGGGTACGTGGGGGTTTCAGAGTTATTATTTTGAGATCTAGTGCGAAAAAATGAGGAACATTGAAGCTTTTTTAACACACCAGCAGGAGCCCCACAGGTAACGTTTATAACGAAATAAATTATTTTAGTCAAATAATTATATACTTTTAGACTGTTTACATCGATATAAAACCACTTGGTGATTCACAAGATTTCAAACGAAAATAATATTTGAAAATCTAGAAAGTCTGTGTTGCAAGGAAACGCGAAGTTATAAGGGATTTGGCCAGACGACGGAATTCTCATTTTTAAATTTGATTAATTATTGATAACAAGCAGGGAGAATAAGTTGGATATGGACGATTTCCAGACCATAGAACTGCTTTAAAATACCATTACATTTTACTCAAACACTCTGAAGACCAAGATTAAGAAAAACCATTCAACAATAATAACATTAACTAAGTAATTGTGCTACTTGTCCACCAGCACCTTAACGTATATTGGTACCAATTTAGTAGTGACTATTTACATTACAGTAAAGGATTTACATTAAGCTTATGGGCCAAAAAGGATACAGTTCCCGCAAATGAACAAAACCACGTAGTAAAGGCAAACAAGGCTTCCGAAGGGCTGATTGGAGTAGGATTTGATTCCCATGTACATCGCTTCATTCCAGTCCTCGCCGGTTAAAATCTACGATGAACAAAGGTTTGTTTAGAAGAGAATCAAAAGCGAAACTGCAGCAGAACCATTTAAAGACAACTATTACCTAGGGCATAGGTAAAATGTAACACCAGTTCAGGTTCTGCTAGCCCAGGAAAGAAATAAGGTCCTTGAATCTAGGAGACCCCGTGTAGTCAGTGAACAAGCAACTTAATAGGATGAAATAGGGGGAAACTGTGCTCATAAAATCAAACGATTTGGTAAGCCATTTGAGGTAATTTACTCCTTGGGAATCAAATTCGCGAATCACTATAGTTGCAAGTAGTAAAATTGGTCATGGGGAAATTCTCTAAAAAGAAATTAACAAAGCCACAAGGATCTTCAGTAGAGATACAGGCTGGAGTACTAGTCACGCTTCCTGTGACAACCACATTCCTATTGAAATTGTACAGTGCTTATAACTCTTTGAAAAAAGTCAGGAGTGTTAATTCAGATGCTTTTATAAATCACTCTTATGCTAAAGTCATTCTTTCTTAATCACCAACCCGTGCTTCAAATTTGGGACAAACGAAAAATTAAAAACCACAATCCATCATTGTGTTAACGTAATCGCCGATACCACAAAATACAAGTGACATTTTCCATGCCACGCTCAGTATCTGAGACGCTGGGGTCTAGATCACAAAAGGCAGTGCAAAGTGGACAGTGGCTGTCAGCACTCAAGAAGGCCAATTAAGATGAACATTGCCAAGAAAAACTAGAAGTGATGTTATAGTTTATATATAGTCCTATCGTAAAGGGAGTTGAATTAGGCTCTCCACGTGCCTAAGCTTTGGGCCCTGATAAGGTCACGATCGCAAATCATTGTCCAAGGCACTACAAGTAAACGCTTTGTCGCTATGAAGACACTCAACGCAAAATACTTGCTGTGAATCGTGTTTATTCACACTCCTTAATCCGGTCGCACACCCCCGACACAGTGTTCCCCTATTTTCACAGCATGTCACCAGCCGCACGGATCTTCAACTCCCCCTCATTCACACGGATATGTATCTTAGATTATCCTCACGCCCGGATCTCCATGTTAGCGCATCTATGACACACATCCGAGGTATAAATACACACGCACAAAACCCACACTTGACACAACGACACCAACGTGGTTGAGCTCTGAAGTATACGGTTGTGTCCATGTCCTCTCGATTTTTTTCTTCATCGCAGGTATCAGGGAAACGTAATCTGACCAGGTTTAATTCCGTGGCCCCGGCGTGGTTCAAGGCCACATGCTGCGCCCACAGCATACTTTACGGTAAAATACTTTGAACAGCTCCTGCATTTGCCGACATAGCAGTCAACGCAGATCAGCAACGTTAAATATCACCTATTATTCATTTCTTCCTTTGTAACACACTCAGGTTAATTGAGTAATTTTCAAGGCGCAGGGAACATACACAACGATAGCTTCTAAATTCTTCGCAGTAAAGTTTTTATACAATTAGTAGCACTTTTGTCTGGCAGGTAAGCAAATTATCTCTGGCTTCGTTTTGCATAAAACCTGCCATCGCAGAAAGGCTATTTCCTTGAAATGAAGGCTGTTATCTGGTCGACAGGAAAAAGACAAGCAATTAAATTACTGTATCAAAGAAATGCAAACACTCATGGCCTCAGTAAAATTTCCTTTAGTTAAATAAACTGTGAACATAATCTTTTTGCGTGAAGTCATCAGTCATGAGTGTTAAATTCAACGAAGTTTACCTGAAACACTGTTGTAAGCGCCTGATAAAAATTGTCGAAATTTGAGCGTGGTTTTCGGAGACTTAGAAAATTGAACCGTCCACCAAATATCTGCATTCCCAAAAGAGCGAAGATGACAATGAAGAGGAAGAGAAGGACAAGCAAACTGGCGATCGATCGCATACTGGCCAACAGTGAACCGACCAGATTTCGGAGGCTGTTCCAATATCTTGGCAAAAATTAACAAAAATGGAGGTAGATAAGCAATATTTGTCTAGCACAACATGTGACATTCAACTGTCAGACAAGTATTTTTAAATTCTGTGTTGATTTTACAAAACTATCAAGCATTGTTTCATATGGAAATATAATTTTCTTACTCATATATTCTAAAATTACATTGTGGGATCACTTGTGTTGTTTTAATTCTGATTTCAAAAATAGAAAACAAATCTAATGAAATCACCAGCTTTTCAATTAGAAAATTTTTGACGAAAATATTAATGCCAGACTAGTATATAATAAACATTGGAATACATAAATGTTGATTTCCATTTTGAGGTGAACCGTTTATTTTGATCCTGCAACATTAGGATTTAAAGTCCCCAAAATATGTATATTTTAACACCATTTTAGCATTATTACAACGAATTCCAGTATCCGCAAAGCTGAATTACGATCGCTTACCCACTGTTTAATTCTTTGATGCTTGCTAAATTCAGTCCTTTATAGCCGGTGGGCATGGAATCAATCCTAACAAGATATAATCGTGAAACTTTGTGGCTCACGCAGAGCTAAAGCTAAATCATGGTTTAATTCAGCTGGCTGGTCAGACTGGCGCTAATATGCTTGGTATTGCTGGTTTAGGGCCCCCAGCAATGAAATCTGTTGCAAATCCTCGAATTGGGTAAATTAGAAACACTCTCATGGTCTTCCTTTACAAAACTAAAATTGTTTGTGGTTTTATACTTCGGTCCTTACCTTGTAACTTTGAATACCCTGAGTAGGCGAGCACATCGAAACACGGAGACACCAAGAGGTGGCATCAAGTTGGTCATTATAAAAACGATCTCCAGGATACTACAGATTACCACAAAGCAGTCAAAGCGATTGAACATATAGTCAAAGTAACACCTCACTCCGAGACTGTACATTTTCAACAGCATCTCTATTGTAAAGAGGACCACAAAAACGATGTTAGCGTCTCCTAAATAAGAAAAAAACTGTATAAGTGATGCATATCGTTAGCTTTTATTCTCTGAAGTTTTCAGATTGAAAAGCATCAGAACAAACTAAAAATAACATGGAACTAGAAGAGTTCTACGTCAAATTGTTTCGTGAATAAACTGTCAAAAACAGTATTCCAATAGCAGCTTTAAACAACAGTTGCTATTGTAATTAGTAGGCACGTTATTATGAAAATGACTACATAAGGTGTTGTAATATTGGAATTAGACATCCCAGTTGTCAAAATAAACTATTCTGTTCAAGTGAACTAGTGAAGTCAAAAATAAATTGGACAGAAAAACGAACAGTTGTTAATTACTGACTGCAAATCATTTCACTGATCGTACGTGTTTAGGACGCTTTAAAGCAACTCTTTTCTGCGAAACTGTTAAAAAAAATTTGACCTACTGGCTAATGTCACTTATAGGCAAAGTGGCTACATGTAAAAATAAATGTAAATTACATAATTTGAATTAGCACTAATATCTACTCAGGAAATGTTACAGTATTTAAAAGGCGATATTTTGGACATAAAGTCATATTTTCATGACATTTTATGGTACCATACGTCGAATAATTTAATGCACTACAGGGGATCAAGTGCATTAGTGTAGCTATTAAGCATAACCTAGTTACACAAACTACAACTGGAATTGTAGCTTCCACGTAACAGCATAGATAGGAGACGGCGTAAGTTAGAATAAAGTCCCCAATTATGGAATCTGTGATCGGTAAAAAAGGATAATAAACCTTCATAGGAGGCAATTGCTTCTTGGTATTAAAACACTTCATTGAATCATGTTTTATGTGAAGCAATGAGAAAAAAATAAATTTGTCGTACTTTGAAAGGCATCTAGCCATAATGGTTGACCGTAGTGTTCCGAAGTGAGGACACCGGTATTAAGAAAGACAAGAACAATCACTGTCCAGTAAAAGGCTTGGGATTTGACCATTCGCCTGCAAGATCGCCTACATCGACGATTAAATCGTCTTGATCGCCGACTAAAATAGAGTTTAAAGGAAAAGCTTGCAAACAAATGTGGCCTATCCGAAATCGAAATATCCGTTATAAAAATTAATATCAACTCTGAAAAATGAGTTCTTATTCCAATCCGATTCTGTGGTGAAATCCATTTTGAAAATGGATCTTTGCAAAAATTATTTGTATGCAAAAGGGCAGAGCTAAATTATTTTAAGGAATTTCGAAGTCTAATGCTTAACAATCATTGCGGTGAATAAATTACAACTGATTACCAGAATAACGAGGTTCTTGTATTACACTACAAGTAAATTGCGCTTGTGGCGCAGTGCATTAGGAGAAAACTCTGCCTTTAAAAATTTATCTTACATGAAAAGAGCCCTACTGATGAATATTTAATAAGCACTTTCCTAAAGTAATATGATCAAAGGGCTTCGGCAACGATCTGCGTTGGACACTTGCACAGGTGTTAATAGTTTGACCGAATAAACTTCAGTATGCCTTCGTAAAAAAACAGTTGTGTGCATGAAGGGGGTCAAGTGGCAGCTTACCCCTTGATTGGAAAACAAAAGAAGTATTGCTTTTGTTGACTTGATTGGGTTCGATAGCCGCAATCATCGCCACGATCAGAATTGTCCTCCTCATCTTCATCGCCACTCTGACCACGCCGGCAAAGGCCACAAAAGCTAAACCCTAAAGAGATAGAACTACAGTTAGTGCACTTCCACGAAAGTCACATGATTCGTAGTTTTAAGAACAAATCTCGATGGGAGTTAGACTTTAACCTCTGGTGCCTTTGGTTTTATTCCATGCAAAAGTGGACATCCTTTCATCAGTTTTGCAACCCGATTATTCGCTGGGTAACAGTAACAGCAGTATATTTAATTCCTTCATGTCAGAGGATTCTGATGCTAGTGTCAATCAATGGAATAGTCATTATAAGGTCTGGCAAAATTGTTCTGGGTTATGATTAGTACACTAGAATCAATCAGCAAAAACTAGGCTGGCGTCTAGATTTGCAAGTTATACTGTTTAGGCAAATATTTATATTTTTAAATGGAAGTTGCAACAGAGATAGAAATAGATTTATAATTGTGTTTGGTGCAAGGAATTTGAAATATGACAACATTACCCACCTCACTACTTACATATTTTGCTTTCAGATGCAAACAAAAACGTAAGAACAAGGCTTCTGCCACGGATAATAAACAAGTAACCAGACAAATTCAGAAAAAAACATAGGATGTAAACTGATTGCAACTTTGCCGCGCATGTTTGCGGTCGGGCCATAAAAGTTTTGTGCAATTTCCAATTCAGTTAAATCAACTCTGTACAAAAGTATGGCAAACTAGAGCAATTTTTTGTACTGTTAAGTGGTTATTCTACCAAGTATGATTGGATGAATTACTGTATTCTATGTAGAAGCTCAAAAAGTGGCTCTTAATTATTGAGGACAAATAGGTATTTCATAGGAATCCCCAAAATGCTGCTTACGCTTCTCCTTGTCATCCAGGGGGTTGGCGTTGTCCTCGTCATCGCTTATATCTTCAGCCGCGCCAATCCAGTCCAAGTATCCCTGAACATCTTCAGCGAACTGCATCTGTTCCCTTGCCTTTTGGTACTTGCCCCTTTTTTTGGCCTTTTCTCTTTCTTTGGAAAATTCACTGTTACAAAAAGGAGTAACTTGCAGCGTGTGTGGTAAAGAAGGTTGTTAAAGCTTCTACTTCGCATTTTGAACAAACTCAAGCTTTGGAAATGGCTGAAACCTGCTCAAAAGTATTGGCCTGCTTAGAGTAACCCGAAAGGTCGTCCTTGCACTTCTCCAATGCCTGTCAGACTCTAACCTATTATCGAACCACGATTTCACTTCTTTTGTTTTACTAATCTTGGTAAAGTATACAGTGCTATGTTCTACGTTTGTGGACAGAGTCGTTTAATACAGAAAGTTCCTAAGCCAATGATGTTTCCTGCCTTTGTTCTCAATTAGTCTTCCTATGCCAATTAATCACGATTATGTGACTTGATACATGATGGCAAGACTTGATTGTTTATGTAGTTGTAGAATAACATTGGTCAGTTGTGGGGTATATGCCTGTTTTTTTTCGTAGAGGTGCAGTCGTCAGTAGCAGAAAACAATGCGGTTTTAAATTATGTGGACTAAATGAACACAAACTCACCCACTCAAGACACCCAGGACGAGGTTCATTACGAAGAACGAGCCAATAATTATAAGGCTAACAAAGTATAGAAAGGGCCACTCCATGCCTTGTGAATCATTCATCTATAAAGAATAAACCCAAATCCCCCAGTAGGTTTTTATACGAAATCACTGGCCACTAAAACATACGCAATGAGGGCGTTTCAAATTCTGCTGTAGTGTCCAAAAAAGTGAGGCACTGATGAGGAATTAAAGTGGCCCAAAAAAAACACCTGCTAGTAAGTCATTTGAAGACTTTAGTGGCTGTAATATGGACCTGAACAAGAGGTTTTATTTTAGCTATAAATATCTTGATTTTGCTTTCACCAATATATGCAATTGCACTCTTTTCGTTGCTAACAAATGGATATTTCCAATGAATGTTGTGATGATACTCGGAGTGTTAAAAAAGCAACCACACAACCCTAGATTATTCGAGAAAACATGTAGCCTACCCAGTAGAGAACATTGGTCCATCCTTCCATGGTGACGCATTGAAAAACCGTGAGCATAGAAGCAGCGAGGTTGTCGAAATTGGTGATTCCGTAATTGGGGCCAGGCCACCGATCCGGTGTTTTGGTGAACCAGGTGACGGCGAAGGGATTGGCACTCACGTTAGCCGCGATGGCCCGCCTTTCGGCGATTGCAGCTTTGGTCATATTGGGTCGGAAGTCGTGACATACGAAGGGGAACTTACACAGATAGCCATGCTTACTCAGGCTGCAAGGTGTAGGATTGTCCATTATAGCACCTAAAAAATCAGTCGTTCTGAAAATCTCCATTCAGTTAGAAAATTTTAGGGCAAAACCACTTCCCAACAAATTCAGCAAACAGCTTCCAGATAAAGTGAGATGAATTTCAATCAAACAAACGCATTTAGACCATCGAAGACAAATGCCACATGAAAGCAGTTTTGTACATTATAATTAATGGAGCAAATCGCGAATATGTTACGGACCATACAACTCCCAACCATTTAACCATGTAGCGATAGCAGAGTACATATAACGGTTTGAATTGATGGATGGGAAGCAGATGCAAAAAAAAACTTTAAATAGGAAGTATAGGTTTCATGTAGTCCATATCACAGCACAGCTGATTACAAAACTTCTGAAAGTTACTTCAACAAAATCAAAGGACAAATACCACAAAGATTCCAAATATCACCTAGATACCCAGTAAAATATCTCCACTCCAAAGCCCAAAAAGAGATGCAATAGATCCGCAAATAAATACGCTTGATGAAG